ACCAAGTTGCAGACCCAGACAGAGGTTGAAGATGACAAACGACCGACATGTCGTTTTAACTCCAGCCTTATATATGACAAGTTGTTTTTTTTGTTTTACTTCTTTTTAATAAAAACATGCAAACTAATGTGGTTGGTGAGACTTGAACCCAAGTCTCCAAGGAAAAAGCCCAACTTTTTGATTTGTGTTAGCCATATTTACAAATCACATATATTCATCTCCGGCCCAACCCAAAAACCAAAATAAAAATGGGTCAAGTTGACCCGCGGATCTGACCTAGTACATTAAAACGGGTTAGTCAAACCTGACCCATAAGCTCAAACAGGTCGGTCAAACCCAATCAACACCCGACCAATAAAGGTCAAACGAGTTAGTCAAACCCGACCCATAAGATCAAACAAGTCAAATCGGGTCAAAATTGACCCGGTTAAATGTGAAACGGGTCGAATCGACCCAAATTCCGTGTGAGGTGTGTGGAGTACCCTTCCGGCGCGTGGATGCTTCTGAGGGCGTGTGGCTGCCTCTGGGCGGCGTGTGAAGTGTTCTAAATTTTTTTTCTTTGCTGTGAAGAAGAGAATGCATAATTGGTATGTTATTATGAGTAATTTTGTTATTAAGCCATGAACACGTATATATATATATTATTTATCAAATATAGTCGACCTTTATTTGATAAATAAATAGCTTTTTTTTTTGTATTTGTTACAAAAAAATGTTACGTTGTAGACGTGCAATGGTTGCTAGAACACCCGCTCAAAAGGAAAGGGTTATGAACATGATTAGAACTCTACAAACTCACACCTTAATATTAAGAGACACAAAGGATGAGTTGGTGCAACTCCTAAATCATTTCATTCATGTGAATGAAAAGATTCAAGAAATTGTCTGGATAGGGGGATTAAAGGAAGATGAGTCGAAATACAAAGTCCTTAGAGAGACTTTTGGTTACCCTAGTCTCGTAGGTCTCCTTGATTTGGTTTAGAACAAGCTGAAAGTTCAAAACCTTAAAGATGATAATAAAGATTATAGACGTTTAGTCAACAGCTACATCAAGGAGTACATAGATTGGGGTGCCAAAAAGACAGCTGGTGCATCTATAGGAGTCTCCACTCGTAAAGGACATCACAAGAAATTGAGAGTTCCCTTGCCTAGGGTTAATTACAAATTAGATAAAGACCTTAGGATAAGGATTATCAGATCCTTCCCAGTTTTAGGAATGTGGCAATACACTTAATTTTTTTTGGAAATTGTATGTTTTAATTTCATTACATGTTGCATTCTATTTACATAATGGAATTGGTTTTTTTTTGTTTTTTTATTAACATTTAAATTTTTATGTGAATTTATTATAATTAAAATGATTATGTCTTAATATTATTTTAGAATTGCAATTAATTATATCTATGATAATTGGAAATTGGAATTTTGGATGACGATTGTTGACATTGTTAACTTTTGATTCCAAATCTAATATACAATTATTATTGATATAATTAATTAAAGATATATGTATGTTTTGAGCATTGAATAACATGCATTATCCAATGTGTAATTTTTTTTTAGAAATGACATCTGCATCTAAGAACATTGTCGCCAAACTTAATAAAGGAGAAAAATTTAACGGTGACAATTATGAGATATGGAGCATGAAAATCCAATATGTCTTGGAAGAACAAGAGATTCTTGAAGCTCTTACCACAACCATGGAAGAGCCTAAAGAAAGAGTCACGGCTCAACATAGAAGAGACCGTGCAGCTTATGACATGTGGAAGAAGAAGAATTCCACTGCTCGCATCACTTTGTTGAGTAGCATGGACAATGATCTCATAAAAAAGTACCGGGATTACGAATTAGCAAAGGACATGTGGTCCGCCCTTACTACAAAGTTTGGTGGTACGTCTATTACCAAACTCCGGTTACTCACTATCAAGTTTGAAACATATAAGAAAAAGCCTGAACATACTATAAAAGTACATTTACGGAACTTGTCAAACATGATAAGTGATTTGAGAGATGCAGGTCATGTCCTAACTGATGAACAACATGTTCAAGCTGTCATAAGATCATTGCCTCAAAATTGGAAACATATGAAAATACACCTTACCCACAATGAGGGCATCAGAAATTTAGAAGATGCCACACGACATTTGGAACTAGAAGAAGATCGCCTTAATGCGAGTAAGGCAAATACTGATGTGTATATGGCTAGTTCCAGTTCACATGGTGGGAAGGGATTTAAACATAAATTCCAAGGTGGGTCCCAAAGAAAAGGCAATACTGATAAGGCTCAAGGGAAGAAGAGAAAGTTTTTAAAACACGGAAAAGGAAAGCATCCTACCAAGAAGAGAAATATGGCAAAGGTGAAATGTTATAACTGTGGTAACAAGGGACATTTAGCTCGCGATTGTTGCGAGCCAAAGAAGGTAAATTACTTGTTTGCACAAGTAAGTTATATAAATGTTTCCAGTTCTGTTTTTCTAACTGAATCTCAACCTTTGTGGACAATAGATTCAACAGCAACAGACCACATATCGAAAGACATGAGTGCTTTTGTGAAATTTCAACGAATACCACGGGAAACAAAATGGATATATGTAGGTAACAATTCAAAAGTGGAAGTTAAAGGGATCGGCACATGCAAATTGATCATGCGTAGAGGTCGAATCCTATACCTACATGACGTGTTATATATACCCGATATTCGTCGAAATTTGATTTCCGTGTTAGAACTTATTAAACTTGGTTTTAATTTAAACTTTTCCAGTACTGGTGTCCATTTATTTTTGGACACAACATACTATGGTTGTGGTTATTTTTCTGATGGTTTTATAGTACTTGACATTGCTCATAATTATAGTAATGTTTGTTTTTCCTTTATTATATCTTCCAATAATAATGATGTGAATGTATGGCGTACAAGGTTTGGCCATGTTGGCCAACAACGAATGAATATACTAGCAAGAGAAGGCTTGTTAGGATCCTTAACAAAAGTAGACTTAACTACTTGTGAACATTGCCTAGCTGGAAAAACGGCAAGAAAACCATTTGGAAAAGCGATAAGAGCTGAAGTTCCATTGCAACTAATTCATTCTGACATATGTGGTCTAATGAATGTGAGGGTTAGACATGAGGCTGTTTATTTCATCACATTTATAGATGACTTCATTTGATAGATTATGTTTTCTTGATTTCTCAAAAATCAGAAACTTTAGAATGCTCTCAGAAGTTTAAAAATATTTAGCAAAAAAAGAATACAGGACATTAGTCAATGGTCAAAAGAGTTATTACTTAATACAATCCTACAACGCAATTGTGAAAAAAATAATGAGTCGGCATTTTATTTAAAAAAATATTAGATAGGATAATGGTTCGCCGTTGTTCGACTACTGACTTCGTGCAATTCAACAGCCACTATAATGGTTCGCCAAATGGCTTCTCATAATAATTCTGTAGTGAAATTGGTGTTTTAGCAAAAGGAATACGGGACATTGCATTACATTTAGCAGAACCTATTACTACAAAAGAGTTATTACCTTTAGCAGGAACTATACAATAAAAAATATTGTCAATCAAGTGACAGTAACAAAACATATCAAATATATACAAATTAAAAATTGAGTACCTCTGTTTATTTCTGTTAATGATGTACCAAAACATAAATATATTTCTACATTAATTTAAAAAATACAAAATATCAATTCCTTCACATTCCCATAAATATCTCTAACCCTTTATATTAATTCCACATACCCAGCACTACATAAACACATAAGTTGTATCAATAATACAACTTATCAATCCCTTCATATTCATATAAATAACTCTAACCCTTCACATTAATATCAAACAAATACATCGTATCAATTATCAATCCCCTTTACTTTCAAATAAATATCTCTCTCTTTAATGTTGATTAAACACATCCATAAATCATGAATTTATTAATACAAAAAAAATCAAACAGCAATTAAATCAAGTGACATGTGACAAAAAATTCTACGCATCCACATGTCTCACATCGTCACCAATCATATACAGTCACATGTTGGATAATCGTCTAACATATTAAAATGAAACAATTATAGAGCTTAAAAAAATCCTACATAACAATCAAATAAGGTATGTCTTAAGATTATATAAATATATACATATAGATAGATATAGATGGATGTATTTAAGTACTTGTGTATCTAATAATTATCAATCACAATTAATCTAAAAATAGATGAAATACGAAATTATTAATTGTAATAATTATTAATCACAATCAATATAAAAAGATACATGAGATAATAAAAAATTTAAAAATGAAACAAATTTTATTAAACGATGGTATGGATAATACGTCGTAGAAGAGATATACGGTGTTACTTACACACATCATGGTTGTTAGTATCCTACGATACTCGATACGTATCATACGATACGATTCGATACAGGTCGTCAACGATACGTATCAAAGAGTGTATCCTAAACCTTTCGATATGTTGATATGTATCTTACGATACGATACGTATCCTTAAAAATATCGATATAAATCGATACGATTTTATTAATTTGGGCCAAAGGTCCAAAAAATTTTTTTGGCCGAAATCGAGTCACCCCAACCCGATTCACTAAAACCTGTTTAAATTTACCTATTTTGCATAGAAAAAGTGAAGAGGAATATGTATTGCTCATTTTATATGATAATAATAATATAAGTGGTGACATAGATATTGACATTGATCTTGGAATTTTTTGATTAATTTTGATTATGTAATACCGTAATTTAAAGTCAATAATACTACAAAATTCTTTAATTAATCTTGGGGATGATATTAATTTTTAGAAAATTTTGATTTTTTATTAATTTTTTTTAAAAAGATGTATCTTACGATATAATATGATACGCGATACACGATTCAAAAAATTAGATTTTTGATATACGATACGATACACGATGTGACAACATGACACGCATAAGTAAAATCAAGTTTAAAAAATGCAGGGTTTGAGTATTATACAAATTCAGTACTCAATTCATCACAGTCCACAGACGCACGTCTTTCCTTCACTGCCACAGGTAAGCCATCTTTCATCCTTAAAGTCAAAGATAACACATAGCTCCGACACGTTTCCTTATCCTGTACGTCCATTAAGAAATTCTCAATCACACACGCTGCAATCGACTTCATCTGAATATAGGCCATATATTTCCCCAGACACACTCTCGGCCCCGCTTGAAATACTGGGTACCGAAATGGGTTCTCGGGACGAAAAATTCCATTTTCCAGCCATCTTTCAGGTAAATATTCGTGCCAATTCTCGCCCCATATGCTCTCCATTCTCCCCATCGCATATGTATGATAAGAAATATCCCATCCTTTGCCGATAAATGTACCGTCCGGCAAGACATCGTCGTTCATGCAAGTTTTGGAATCAAATGGTACCGGTGGGTACAATCGCATCGCTTCGGATAATGCTGCATGCAAATAATGCATATCTCGGAGCTCATCAAAACTGTAAATATCGCTGACACTTTTCCTGTTTCGGACCCGAATCGACTCAAGCTCCTTGAGTATCTTTTGCTCAACATTCGGGTGAGAAGATAATAGCCAAAAGAACCAAGTTAACGCTGATGAGGACGTGTCTCGTCCTGCAAGAATGAAGCTTATGACGATATCTCGGAGGAATTCGGTTGAATATTGGTCGTGGTTTCTAATAAACCGTGAAAGTAAATCTTCATTCATATTCTCTGCATTTTCTTTTGCTTCCATTTTTGCTCGAATAATAATATCATTGGCGAATGCGTGGACTTTTTGAATTGATTTTCTGAGTCGACGTTCTGATTCCGTGTTAAAGAACTTCTTGATTCTCCATGGAGACCTGAATCGGTAAGCACTCAGAGTGGCTGCCTCTTCAAACGCCCGCATAAATTCGGTTTCACCGGTTCCATCTCCTTCGAGACAACCCGGATCAACGTTAAAAGAAACTTTACATATGTTGTCAAATGCAAACCGCTCCAAAGTATCCTGCAAATCCAACACTTGTTCTGTTTTTGAGGCCCTCCTTAATATGGGAAGTAACCTGGACGAAATCTCGGACCGAACATTCTCCACAACGAAATTTCGGAGCGATTTTGTGTTGAACTCATAACTAGCAGTTTTCCTCTGGACTTTCCACAACTCTCCGTCGGAGTTAAAGATTCCGCTGCCCAGGAGATCTTCAACATTCTTAATGAACCGGTCACCTTTCGGGTAGTTCTCAAAGTTAGTCTTGAGAATATACTCGACGTTTAAAGGGTTGGCCGTCGCGATGCCACGCACATTGACGGGACGGCAAATGAAAACAGTGTTGGTGGGGTTTTTTTTAAGATTTTCAGTTGTCCACTCGAGAAACCGGTTCCGGTTTTTGAAAATTCCCGGAAAATGTCCTAGTATAGGATAACATGTACCATTACCATAGGCTTTGGCGAGGGGTTGTTTTTTGTTTGAAGGGTAAAAGTAAAAGTACATAGAGAAACAAAGAAACAAGACGAAGAAGAAGAGAGTTTGAAGAGAGAAGAATTCCATGGCTAGCTAGAAGCCTTTGAGGTTCTTCCATCTTACAGAATACAGAGTGATAATATATATACATGGCGACGAGTTGCACGACTTCAATTTTTAATCTGTGCACGATTTCCTTGCAATTTGGTTTAATATATTGATTTAAAGCAATAGTTAAATAAATATGATGATTTCCTTTTGATTTTTGAATGAAATGGAAGCGTAGAATTTTGCTATGAGAGGTTTTGTTTACTGATGCACGTTCTACACAGTTGACTTGATTTGCATGAAACATGTGGTTAATTTTTAATAGTCGTTTCTATTTTTTTATTTTGAAGCTTTCTTTATCCGACTTTAGCTTCTACAATACTGAAATGAACACCAGAAAACCATGTAAAATAATCTCTCGTTTGTGTGGAAACTAATTTGTTGCCGGATACAGTGGTTAAAGAGCACAATTATCTTAAAACGATATTTAATATACATTAACCAGGTGATCGAGTGGTTTGATAAGAACACTTGAATATATTATTTAAGAGATTTTAAGTTTAAGTCATTCTTCGATTTCTAATAAAAATAACCAATAAAGCTCTTATCCAATCGATAGTTCCAAGGTCTTGATAGATTAATTGAGGTGCGTGTAAGTTGGTCCACACATACTGTTATATATATATATATATATATAATATACGTTTCACTTTTAGTGCAATCGAATGAATGGTTTGTCTTCCAAAATACCTGAGGAAACGAATCTTATCAAACCTTTTCGGACTCACCACTCAAATGAATTCAAAAACTTGCATTTGGAAAGACAATGTATAGGGGTCAAAATGTGAAGTTTAAGCGATGAACTTGGTTAAATTTATGCCCGGAGTCACGAATAGCTCACTAAGCTCAGCCCAGCTACTCACTGTCACTAAAATTCGTTTAATACAAACGACATGTCGATCATTCGAGGTTTAAAATACGACAGGCAAGCAAACTTTTCAATTAACAACCAAGACCAGACAAAAAAAATGAGATGTAAACAATTGATTTGGGCAACAATACAAGACAATAACACGGTCCACTTCTATCTGTATCTAATTTCCACACAAACAAAAATCTGTGCCAGCAAACTTCAGCATATTCCATGATTCGTAATTACTTTCAAAGTCCAAGGACTTATCTGTAAATACGAATCTTATTAGAGAACCACACAAAGTCACAAGCACCAAAAAAATAAAAAAAATTTTGGTGGATGCAATTGATTTAGGATAACGTGGCCTAATCCGCCAATAGCCTGCATGCATTCCATGTAAGCAGCGCTCAGTTTCAGAGAGTCTAGGCCTTAAACATACAAGCATTCCATTGATTTGAATTACAATTTTCTCCTTGACTTAGAAGAAAATGGCATTGCCGGCTGATTGCCAGTTTTCCCTCTCAGCCGCTGGTGGCGCCACTGGCTTGGCGGGGAGCAGGAACTGGAGGATTGTGAAGTTTTGCAATGGAGAGTTGATGGGCAAAAGACTTAACATGAGAAAACTACAGAATGGAGGTAGTAGTAAGATTGTTAAGCAACGTGTTTGCATGTCTCTTACTGCAGACGTAGCAGGCAAGACCAAGGTAAAGCTCAGCTCCCACTCTCTCAAAACACATAACTTCAAGGCAATATATACTTGAATATATATGGTTTGTCACACTTCAATTTGTCTGAACGTTTTCATTCAGCAACCATTGATCAGATGAATGATTAATTTGCGATTAAATATTTGTGGGATGAATGTAGTTAGGAGACTTAAATATGGAGAGGACAGATCCTCGTACGGTTGTGGCAATTATTCTGGGAGGAGGAGCTGGAACTCGTCTCTTTCCTCTCACTAAGCGTCGTGCCAAGCCTGCTGTAAGTCTCATTTGATGACCAATTTCTGAACTCACGCTCATATGGTCATGAAATTTAATTCGTTTGAAATTGTCACTTGTAGGTTCCCATTGGAGGTGCATACAGGCTGATTGATGTGCCAATGAGTAACTGCATTAACAGTGGAATCAACAGAATCTACATTCTCACGCAATACAACTCAGCATCACTCAACAGGCATCTCGCTCGTGCTTACAATTTCGGAAATGGGATCAACTTTGGCGATGGTTTTGTTGAGGTATAAATCTTTATATATGTTTCAGAATTCTTTAAAGCCAATACATGAATCTCTATATGATTTTGTGTTTAGACGTGTTACCTTGCAGCACGCACACACCCACATAAACAAGCTTGCTGAACTGATGCTGCACTTAACTGGGGTAAATAACAAGTATGTTCAAGGTCTTTAATTGACTGTTGTTCTAAATCAGGTTCTAGCAGCCACTCAAACTCCTGGAGAAGCCGGTAAAAGTTGGTTCCAGGGTACTGCAGATGCTGTTCGGCAATTTCACTGGCTTTTTGAGGTAGCCAAACTCTAATCCAAAGTTGCTCTAACTCGTCTCCTCGCCTTTACTTAATTTGATGAACTGAAAAACCCTGGAAGTTAGCATACATGATGGTTTACAATATGCTTCACTTTCCATAGGATGCAAGAAGTAGGGACATTGAAGATGTGCTGATTCTATCTGGAGATCATTTATATAGAATGGACTACATGGACTTTGTTCAGGTAATGGCATCACATGCAATTCAATAGAAATAATGAATACTATATATGTCAGTCCACAAGAAAATAATGCAGTTGTACTTAATATCCATATCCTCGTTTCCAGGATCATCGGCAGAGTGGAGCAGACATCAGTATTTCTTGTTTGCCGATGGATGACAGGTAGGCAACTTTCGGCAGAATTTGTGTCAACACTGAAACTATTTCAATTCAGATTTGAACAGACATTGAAATCTCATGGTTTCCTTCTAGTTTATGCAAATCAATCACAGAAATGAGCATGTTGTTTATTGCTGATAGCTCTAAGTTAATCTACAATAACTGAGACCCCACTGTTTTCATGATAGTCGTGCCTCAGATTTTGGTCTAATGAAAATCGACAACAAAGGAAGGGTCCTTTCATTCAGTGAAAAGCCTAAAGGAGCTGACCTGAAAGCAATGGTAATATTCAGGTTTCTAATACATAGTAATTCTGAATCATGTATGCTATTATGCTAATTTTGCTTATACTGTAGGCAGTAGATACGACGATTTTGGGACTCTCAAAATCAGAGGCTGAAAAGAAACCATACATTGCTTCAATGGGAGTGTATATCTTCAAGAAAGAGATACTTCTTAATCTTTTGAGGTACTACCAATTTCAGCTTTATCACATATTACAGAAAAAAGATAAAAATGATGTTTCTTCAGAGGTTAGTTTAAAGCAAACATGCATGCACGAGCAATCAGAGATGTCATTTCAAACCTTAACATAGAACATTAAAAGTCTTACAAATTGTTGTCGAATCAGATGGCGCTTTCCAACTGCAAATGACTTTGGATCAGAAATAATCCCTGCCTCAGCCAGAGAAGTATACTTAAAGGTCTGTATTCGATCTAATCTTTATGAGTGTAACTGGATGGCAAGTCAGTTAACTAAAATTGAGGCAAATACCCTACTGGAGAGCTTAACTATCATTTCTGGATGCTTCTGTATAAATTTTTTGAACAGGCTTATCTGTTCAACGATTATTGGGAAGACATCGGGACCATCAGATCCTTCTTCGAGGCAAACCTTGCCCTCACTGAGCATGTAAGCATCAAAGCATAAAGTCACTACGTCTCATTAGCATTTGATGCTCATGTTTATGTTTAAAGATACACACGCTTTTACAGACACAGGCAATCTCACATTTCTTTTGTGACTTTCAGCCACCAATATTTAGTTTCTATGATGCAACAAAGCCAATGTATACATCCAGAAGAAACTTACCGCCAACAAAGATTGACAATAGCAAGGTTAGCAAAACCGGCTTCAACTTGCATTTTAACTTTTCTGGTTGACAAATTTATATTCTAAAGAATTCTCCACCTATTATCACTAAAAGAAGTGCTGGTACAAGGTAGAGCCAGTCAAATAAATACACAAGTATGCATACATAACATCAAATAACTTGAAGACTCACCAGTGCAGCAATGCCAGACTCAATATACTGATATAGGATCATTTTAGACCAACTTTTCAGTTGATATCTGTTTTCCACATTTTTTCTCTGCTTTTTATTTTTGAAGTACTAACATTACTTCCCATTCTTTTGCAGATTGTTGATTCAATCATATCACATGGAAGTTTCTTAAGTAGCTGCTTCATAGAACACAGTGTAATTGGTATCAGATCTCGGATAAATCCTAACGTTCACTTAAAGGTTTGTTCGATAAATTGTTGAGGGAGAATTCTAGATATATGTACATCAATTTACTTTTAACTGTTGTAAGCAACCACCTTCTGGTGTAGAAAAAAGGTTGTTTAATCATATGGCTATTCTAGACTGCATGTCAAACTATTTAGAGTTTCAACCATTTCTTCATTGTAAACCTAAATTGTTATGCAAAATATACTTCTATTTTTGAGATTTTAACATGAACTTCATATTCCTCCGGTACTCTTGTCTATAATAAACTTAAAGTATGCTTTTAATAATACAGGATACGGTGATGCTTGGTGCTGACTTCTATGAAACAGACTCTGAAGTAGCATCGCTACTAGCTGAGGAAGGAGTTCCTATTGGAATTGGAGAGAATACAAGAATAAAGTATAAACTGCTAAAACCTCTGTGTCTTATTCTTTTGTATGAAATCAAAATCTTTTATTATATCTAATTTCTAATGGCTTCTTTAATTATGTTGTACAGAGACTGCATCATAGACAAAAATGCCAGAATAGGGAAGAATGCTGTTATTGCAAATTCAGAGGTATGTTTTTTCAAACTTATAGTAGATGATGTGGTGGGCGGGAGCAGAGTTAAAACTAATTATCCACTCACTACAATAACTTAAGGTCTCTAATCTTAATCTCAGTTTAATTATTTTAAAATAATAAGTCATCAATGTTATGCTCGTTCCAATGCTGAAAACTAGAACTCTGAGCAACCAGATGTATGGAAACGGAGACCTGAACAACTTAGTTTTCAACTGCGACAGAGAATTTAAAAAATAAAATTACTAAACAAAAGGGATTGAATGGTTTCAGTTATATTGCCCTTCTGTACTCTTAACCTGTAGTAATTTTATTTGTATATGGATTCACAGGGCATCCAAGAGGCTGATAGATCTTCAGAAGGGTTCTATATCCGCTCTGGGGTTACCATCATACTGAAAAACTCTGTAATTAAAGATGGACTTGTAATATAAAAAAATTGTTCATCCTTTGCTTTCAGTTGATTAGGATAAAAATTTTTCAATGAGATATGAAACATTATGTGAGCTATTCAGAAGTATCAATGTGATAAGCCTGTGCTCAATTGAGGTTTATCTATAATGTGAATGTGCAGAATCATTCTCCTGTAAACATGGACCCTCATTATTTAATCTATTTCTCAAAAACAAATCAATGAGAAGATACAAAAGGAAATCTGGAAAGTAAAAAGATAAAAAAGAGATCAGAAAACATCAAAATGTTAACTCTCATTGAGAGCATGAGGCTATTTACCGAATCTTAGAGTATATTTGAATGTTGATTACTTCTTGCCAAACATTAACAGTGAATTTGTTTCAAAATCTGAAAAATAACCCAATATGATAAATAGGGAAAGCCAGAAGTCTGCCACTAATTTTACCATTAAATACCCCTTAATAGCCAAAATTGAAAGAATAATCCTGCAATTATATTCTCATCAACCAGATGGAGAATAATAGTTTAGCAATTGTTGCTATAAAGTAGATCTCATAGTTCTTCAACCACAAAGGCAACGAAAATACTTGAGCCAAGCGTTGATAATTACACTTGAAATCTATAATATGCATTCAAGACAAAATAAAAATTAAAAAACAAAAAAATTAAAAATTAAAAATTATTGAAAGGTCATTTTATACTGCAAACGAAAATTGCATCACCCTTTCTCGATCCTACCATAATGTAAATGATTAACAGACCTATATAAGCCTTGAAATGCGAGCAAAGAGACAATTCTGTCATACCTAATTCTAGAGAAAATCAATTACAAAACAATTCACTTCAAGTACGCATTGAGATTTTCTTCAAACTTAGTTATTTTATTAAACTAACTTCTGTTCCACAAGATTCACTGTCAAATTTCCATTATTCTATCTATTCACATAGATGAAGGCAACAACTTAAAGGAGAGCAAAAGAAAAGAAAATAACTGCAAATTTGCAAAAATAATAGATTATTATTGATCCAGTAAAGTAACCTCTTCACAGTTAAACTTCAATTCATTTTCATATCTTTGCAAAACAAAATGCTCCTCTGAAGTTATAATGTTGGTAACAATACATTTCTCGTCTGAAAAAGGTTTCCTACCTGTTCTTCCAGCTCGATGCAGATAATCTATAGCTGTTCTTGGCAGATCAAAATTGTATATATGAGTCGTCTCTGGCAAGTCTATTCCTCTGGCCGCTATATCTGTAGATACAAGAAGATAGCCTCCCCCTTGTCTTAGTTCCTGTATTCACAAATGTGTATACCAAAATATGTAACCCTGAGCTAATAAGAAAAACGCTCTTACATGCACCAGTCAAGGAACTGAAGCATGTACAGCACATTTGAAAGGAAAACCAAAGCAGAACTTACTGATAGTGAAGCTGCTCGAGAATTGAAATTCATGTCTTCCTCCAGAAGAAGGATGTCTGAAGAACCCCCATATGAAGTCTTCAAGAAATCAATTAGAAGAGTTGTTGATGGCGAATTTCCAGCTTTCTTTGACTTCTCAGACTACATAAATATTGAAAGGAGAAGCCCATCCATTTAGTGTGGCATAGACAAAAGAAGTCTCATTGAATAGTTATCCCAAACATGATTACGCTCTTTTGAGTTCGTATATGTATATTCATACTTTAAATTTATATTTATATTTAGGTAAAAAATTTATGAAACATCATAGAGTAGTAAGCCGAAAACAGATTTCAAGCCTGTCATAAGATAAAATTTAATGAATGCATTTATTGAATTAATTGAGAGAAGATACTGTACAAACCTGCTCACCAACAAAAATAATGCCAGATTCGGGTGCATCAGACTTTAGTAAGGATAGCAATGTTTCATGCTTCATTTTTTTACTGCATATCTGTTAAGTGACAAAGAATCAGCAATCAAAGTCAGGTCCATTATAAAATAAAGGCACATAGCCATAAAAGAGTGTGACTAAGGAAAGTAGTAGTAGGTAAATATAAAATCAAGGTCCACAAACCCTCAATATAATTATAAATGAGGATCTATCACAGAGTAAATCTCAATTATAAATTTTCTTACCACAAATCTATGATGCAGACATAAAGGCAAGGGTTTTATCGCATTAACATGAACATGAACCACATCACTCTGTAAGAAATATTAAAATCAGAAGAATGTCATATAATTTACAACAATTTTGCATTGGATCCCAATGAAGATAACATGAAAAGCAGAACTATTCCAAAACCTTGGTCCACTTCTGCTGTATGCAGTCATGTAAAAATCGTCGGTGCTGAGGGATTGATGCACTAGCAAAAATGGTCTGACGGTTGTTGCACGATGAATATGATCCCAACAGCTTTTTAAGAGAACTGACTTGTGTTGAAGAGTTGAACAAGAAATCAACCTAACAAAACAATAAAAACAAAATTTCATTCCATCAAGCAAAACATCTGAAAAGAGGCTTTTTGGATTTAAGAAGTTTTTTACAATAGGCAAAAAGCCTACTAATCATCATGGGACTGCAATTGACTTAATAACCAACAAATAACTACTTACAGTAAACAAGTTTCCATAAGTTATGAAACTCCATATAAGAAACAATGCAATCAAAAATGTAATTTTAGTCCCAGCTAAAGAGAAACAAAATTCCATCTCAACTGTCTAAAACCATTAAAAATCCCCTCAAATTCCGTTGAGAACTTCTGAAGTATAGCATACAACAACAAATTTACATAACCAGTTCTTATCAATTTTGTATGATCTAACCCATTCAAATACTGCATAAGCCACTATATGTGCCCATTACCTCATCAATAACAAGCACCTGCATGGACTCGAGCTTCAATATGTTCTTCTCAATCAATTGGCACAAACTTCCTATTGTAGCCACCACTATTTTCGGGGGTTCAGCCTGAAACATTTAAGGCATTGAACAAAATACCTTACATAATAAATATACATTGTCTTTCAATATTTCACAATGCTGACGGTAAGATAAAACAAGCAGAGAAAACTAAGAAATTGCTTACCTTTTATCAAGCATAAACAAGGTTATCAAGAGTTTTTGACATCAAAATTTAGATTACATGTAGGCTAACTCTTTCTAGTCCAACAAAATATTTTTAAGCAAACGAGGTCTCGAATAATTTATATTAGACAAACAAGAAATACAAATAATATCAAACGGGACAATGCAGCACCTTTAGCCAACTCTTGTGTCTTCTCAACATCCCTCCATCTAAAAGAGCCATGACGGTACACGACTTCTCTTCCGAGCCAGATTCTGAGGGCTTTGCAGCCAACATTCGAGCAACTTTGGTAACCTTGTTCAAATAAATAAATAAAAATAAATTACAACGTTACCATGGAGCTCAAAATTGGAATTGTCAATTTCTCAGCCCACTTTTTCTTATTCAAAATTGTCTGAAATAATCATCAAAATTCTCACTTGCATGCCAAGTTCTCGAGTTGGCACCACAATGAGTGCTTGCACAGCAGACCTTTGAGTGTTTATTACTGAAAATATCAGCAGTAGGTACGTCAGCGTTTTACCCGAACCTGTCTAGACGATAAAAAAAAAAAAAAACAAAAAACAACTACATCAGTCTTGTCAGCAACGCACAAGCTCAACTCTACAGCTATTTCAACTAGTTTACAAAGGAACAAAATTTAACAATGAAAAGCTTTAGAACAAAAATCAAGAGAAAAAGGCAAGTTAACCTGAGCATGCAGTATGCAATCACGGCCCGAGAAAATAACAGGCAATCCTTCACGCTGTATATCTGTCGGTACCACATATCCAATCTCTTCCATCCTGCGCACAATTCACTTCTCAATCATCCATAAACAATAGCAAATTCAATGACAGAGATATCAAAAACTATGTAGTAGCATGAAACTCGCCTGAGAAGCACATGGTCGGGCACCTGACCTTGGCAGAGCTCACGGAGAGTGAAAGTGTTGTCGTTTCCAGTGACCGCTTCTTGAGCGGTTGGTGTCAGCGAAGAATTGAGAACGGCTCGCAAACGTCTGAAGGAAGTGCGAACAGAAAAGAGAGGTCGGTTTGTGAAGTTAATTGAAGCAGAAGAAGATGATAGTTTAGAATTAGGTCGTGAGATAGGAACAAGCTGAGTAGCTGAAATGGCTGCCATTTTTGCTTCCTAATGAACAGTCGAATAAAGAAGAGAGTTTGATTTGGATTGGCAGGAATTGCAGATGGAAATTGTCGTCTAGAAACGCATACCGTCTATCAGAATGAGGATGGGTCCAGTGGGTCCCCCTTTTAAAAGTTTTTGGAACTTGTAATCGTGTGATCAATGATGATGACCAAACTTCAAAGTTTGGAAGCTTTGTTGGACGGTGCCGAATAACGGAGGCCAGATCGTACGGGCAGTGTGACTATATATATATATATATTTATTTATTTCACACTGTCTTTTAAATTAATTTTACCGGGTTTGGTAAGGAACATATCGGAGTGTGTTTCAAGTTAAAGCGATTTTTTTTTTTTTCGTTATAATTTTTTGAAATTATCATTAGACAAGAGTTTTAATAATTATTTTTATTAAAAATTGTAAAAACTTAAATTCGAGAGACTATATTAGATTTTTTTTCTAAAACTTTAATACTATTAATCATATAAAAATTTTAATAATTATTCTTATTAAGGGTCATAAAGACTCGAACTTAAAAAATTATATTAAATTCTTATTTTATTTTTTTATTATAAAAAAAAACTCAAATTTAAAATATTATATTTGATCATTTTTTAATTTTTTATTATCGTTAAAGCGATTCCAAAAGCACAAATTTTGTTTTCCATTTATGCTTCTTTTTCATTTATCTCCATGCCAAAGTTAACATTAGCCTTTTAATCTTAAGGTAAAAAATTCCACACTTCACATTAGCTTAAACCAAACACAAGGAATAATTAACTTTTGTTAAAAGCATTTATTAAAGTTGAGTCTTTATGATTTGACATTTGAAAATGATTTTTAATTTGGTTTCAAGTAAAAACTTGATTAAGGCTACGCAAATATAGTATTTAATACGGTGAAATTATTTATATTAAACGTCAAATTTAGAAAGAGTTTCAGATCATAGTATATAACGAAAAAAAATTTATTACCTCATCTTTCTTCAATATTATCCACCCAATCATGGATAATATAAATTAAATAGTTAATTATTATACCGTAGCAATTAATTAATTAATTAAGCGGGAAGATAAAAAGAATAATTTAAAGAAGAAGAAGAGGATTGATTCCATTCAAAATCTAACCGTCTGAATAGGGGGATATAATTTCCTTTCCTGCGTTTTCTGCCTTTTCTTCTTCTGTCCATAATTCTTTTCTTTTGACCATCTATACACACTTTTCTAGGGTTCCTTTCTTTTCCTTCATTCGTTACCTTTCTCTCCAACTCCTCTCCTTCTTCTCCACTTCACGCGTTTTTCTCTTTCTTTATCTTCTCTTCTCTTCCTTCTTCCTTCACTGTCACTCTCATTTTTCCATGGCCTCTTCCTCTTCTTCCTCCTCCCCTGCTGCTTCTTCTCTATTATGCGACAATCAGATCGTTTCAGCTTCCTCTTCTGCTGCTGTTGATGATTCTTTCGAAGACGCTTGCAGTATCTGTCTCGAGCCTTTCTCCACTGCCGATCCAGCCACTGTAACTCATCTTTTTTTTTTTTTAATCTTTTGTTTACTCTTTTCTAACAGTTTCAGTTGTTGTTTGTTTGTGTAAATTTATTCTTAAACTGTGTTTTATGTGATACGGTACGCTTTTGTTTGACCGGCATTGTGTTTGGAGAGTGGAGATCAAGTATTTGTTTGAGCTTTTATAGTTTTTGAAAATTGATTGTAGTCTTTGATATTCAGTAGCTGATAAAGTTATGTTTTTTCTGTGAACTGAAATTATAGGAATCGATTTTTTTAATTGGTGAAGTTAGGTCTTGATTGTTGTCTAATTGTTCGTGATCATTGATTGCGATGTGGATTGATCAGGCTGCAGGAGATTGATGTGAATTCTATTACATCGTTTGGTTAATTTGCACCGCTGGTTGCTTTAGCTATTAGTTTGTTAAATAGGGTGAGACATTTCTTTGTCCACCATCTTCTAATTAAGAAAAAACTCCCGTTGTGTGGTTGAACAGTCTTCCTGGTTAAGCAAGAGGCTTGAGGGTAGTAGAAAATAATGGAACGCAGTGCGTTGTTCATTGCTTTTACTCTTACTTAAACTTGATTATCAATAGATTTTTTATATTGTGGAATTTTGTAATCTGAAGTAGCATTAGGGTTTCACTGCTGTGTTATTTCTTATAAATTGATTGATTAATGATAACTTATGGTTTTTTTTTTTTCTTTCCTAAATGATTGAGTCTAGGAACGTCTGCCATGAAAGAATTTTTAATTCGATGATACCTCTAGCCTTGACTAAGCATATATGTTTCTGTTTTCAGGTTACTAGCTGCAAACATGAATATCACCTTCAGTGTATCCTGGAATGGTAGGCTCATTCAAATGTTTTCATTAAACTTAAGTTCTTGCAGAGATTTTGGACCAGCACCTTCTGCCACTTCTGTTTGTAATTTGATGAGTGAAAAGTTTCTAACTGAACCTTTTTTCTTTTATTTAGGTCTCAAAGAAGCAAAGAGTGTCCAATATGTTGGCAGCTATTTGTTTTGCAAGACCCAGCCAGGTATATGACATTCCTCTTAAAAGCTGTCCCGTGCATGTGCAGGGATGCAGGTGTATCTATTTTCCTTATTATCCTGATGAAGTAAAGTTAGTTGGTGTTTGCATTTGGACCTTCATTTTTTCCCCCTTTTTCTAATTCACTATTTATATTCTGTAGCCAAGAGCTTCTAGCTGCTGTTGAGAGTGAAAGGTGCTCCAAGTCAAGGAACATAGCTTCCTCTGTACCCCCTCCTTTTCATCAGGAATTTGATTTTGGACTGGTGATTATTTAGTTTAATTTAATTCCATGTCTTAATTTCTTCAACTGTTTTCCTTGATTGAATATTTGACTTGGTGAGAATGAATCTTTTAGTCCTAAAAATGTGTAATGAATTTTTTCTAGGATCCCACTTACATGGATTATGCCGAAATTGAAGAGCGTGTTATGCGGCATCTAGCTACTGCACGTTATTTTCGCAGAAGAGAGATGCAGAGAGCTGCTGGGCTTGATCCTTCTCAAGTTCTTGTTTCTAGTTCTGCTGCTAATGCTCCTGGATTGCTTTCGTCCAACACAACGTCACCAGATTCTAGTCATTCGTCATCTGAGGAGGATTCACCAACTTCTGGCATACAATCAGCTGCCAGTATTCCACCTTCCTCATCTCTCTCTGGTACTGCTGTAACCAGAGATGACCCTTTTAGACCCAGGTATTTGCTCAGAACTAAAAGTCCAAATATTTTATGTGTTTGTTAACTACCATCTGGACTGCTGTGCTCAATTATTCAGGTGAAATGTTTTCATACTGTGATCTGTGGTTACTGAGCTTTTCTATTTGTACGTTTTGAAAAGTTATTGATTTCTTAATTGCACAAGTGGATATATGATATTAATGTTTTGGAGCTCTTTGCTTTGAAGAATTGTTGTTTCCATCCCACATATTTCCGTACTTTCATGCACTCTCACACCTAAATCTTTCAATGTTTTATATGGTGTAAATATATGTATTAGTTTTATATAATTAACTGGGTTATTTTTCAGAGTTCTCTTTAGGCAGCCACAACCTGATAGTCCCAGGAGAGCAAACCCAACTGAGATACTCTCATTGTCAGATTCTATCAAATCTAAATGGTCTGCTGCTTCAGCTAGGTAGATATATTACGACTTGGTTACATTTTGAACTGATAATTACTTGTTTCAACATGTCAATCTGAAAGGTGCTTTTTTTGTAATAGATATAAGGAATCAATCTCAAAAAGTACCAGAGGTCTAAAGGAGAGGTTGGTTGCTCGTAATAACTCCGTTAAGGAGCTGAGCAAAGAAGTGCAGCGTGAGATGAGTGCAGGAATTGCTGGTGTTGCAAAAATGATTGAGCGCCTAGATCTTGCCTCAAAACGAACTGGAACTTCTGTTCCTACTCCTGGTTGCACGGTGGGGACATCTAGTGTCGTATTTAAAGGAAAGGGTGTGCAAGAGAGTGCTATTAATAAGAAAAGTGGGGAAGTTTCACCTGATATAAGTTCAGATGCACCCCCTTATATCTCTGGTACCAACCCAGGTCAATTGGAAACGTTGCATGCACAGGTTATAATACTTTTCTCATAATGTGACTCTGATGCTTTTTTGATAAATTATATTTGTCCCGATGTTTAATGTAGCATCGGAAAGCAGAAGCTAATTTGTAACATATCTAGTTAATTGATTGCAAAAGATGAGCAATATATTGATAAATAATTTATTTCTAATATTTGTTCCTTTTCTTTGGCAGAGAGGACTTTGACGCTGTGAAGTTTGGGACTGGCTACTTATTTTTATATATTCTGGATAATGCAAGTGACGTACAGTTATGAAACCAAATGCTCATTGGTGGGCGTCCTGCATTGCCACCATATGCAAAGTAGAAAATTTGGTTGGCCAGTGAAAACCATATCATCACTATAGCCTATCGCAGTTGTTTATGTTGTGGTAGAGGTAATTGTAGAATTGTGGGGGAATCTCTCCTTCCTTCCATTAGCTTTTATTGTTTGCACCTTCATTTTTATCAAGAAACTGATCGTTCTGCTTTTTGCCATGTTCACTGGTGCTAATATTATATACTGTCAATTAATGATAATATATTAAGTGTTTATGTGGCCTACTTCAGTGTGGTGAGTTGTATGATGTATTGTGTTTTGTCTTTCTTAATACTTGGTTATTGCTCTTTTAGACTTCACAAATTGTGGGCACTCTGATCTGATATATGTTAGCCCATAGATACCGAGATACTCAGTTCTGGAGCTGTGTTACCAGGGGAGCCGCCAGTGGCAAATACGAGATTTCCACTGTGATGAAGGGTTTGGCATGGGCTAAACCATGGCAGATAATTTTCTTGCGTTGTGCAGGATCTGCATGCTCATAATTGTATATGTAAGATGTTTTTACTATCACAGCGATGGAAATACGTGTCCATACATGTTCTAGCCTGAAACAGGGAAAATTTAACCGAGGTTGAGCTGGTAGTGGGGCTCGCTTCGTTCATTAATTTATAGTCAATAAAAATTGACCTGCGGTGACTTCAATTAATACCATCACTGAAGTTGGAACTTTTATAATCAAGGCAGTTTGCTTGTTGCTAAACCATCGGTCATCTTCTTCATTATGCCTACATGGATTTGCTAAAATGGGTTGGTAGACTTTTTAATGGGCTTGTAGTCAGGGTTTAGGGTTTGAGGAAATGGGTTGATGAGAATCTCTTTGCCAGGCTGCGGGTGATGCTTCTGTGGTTAAAAAATAAAAACATTTCCACATGGGCTAACATCTCCTCTTGTTATCAACTGTGCAACAGCTATAAGTTTCATCTTTCAGAGAAACAAACAACTGAGCTTTTGCTGCTGCAAGTGCGTATATGAATCTGCAAAACGCAACTATGTGTTGTGATATTGAAGAAATACAATGAGATATTATATGAATATTCAATTTAAAATCATCAATTATATTAGAAACATGAAAATACATTCATAGCACAAATTAATTGATATGTACGCTGCAAACTTTAAAAAAGAACCGTCTGGATCTCGTCTATTTGGTGAAACATAAACATTCGTACAACGGCACGATGGCCATGAATAAGATACAAAGAAATATACCTGAAACCTTCATGATCGAGCGTCTTTGAAAAATCGTCGGTACTTTTTCGGACGTTTTATGGAAGGAAAAGGAAAAGTTTCCATTATCCAAGGAGACCAAGTTAAAATATCAACAATGTATTCTCATTCTCTGCGCCATACACAGTAGATCAAAATTTAGAGGTGATTTTAGCAACTAGTCAAGAATTATTATTATTATCAGCGGATTTTAACATTTTCAGAACATGTTGGCCCCAATTCACCATCAAGGCCTGTCAAAGTACTCGAAATGCTCGTAAAAGCGATCTCAGAAACAAAGGGGTGGTCAAGGAGAAGGTAAAGATATAGAAAGCATTAACCAGAGTGCAATGCTTTCAACCAGATATACAAAATTCACATGCTGTTTTAACCATGAACTTAATCAGGATGCCGGTAAAGACAACTTATTTCTGAAGAAGGATTAGCAGAAGTAAGAGAACACATAACAGTGGAATAGGCACACATGCAATAGTTACACCGGCCTATCTCCTTTTCTCCTAAAAGCAAGAAAGGATATTGATAGGATACAAGTGCCTATTTTGACTGCATATTGAACTAGAACATTATATCTGTCCCAAAATGACCTCAGCACCAGAAACCTTCACGTCAGATGGGGCTTCCTCTACATTAAAAGCCTTGATCTTTCCATCATCTACATATGCTGACCATCTACACAGAACAACAATATCTTAGTACCAGATAATCGATGCAATTCAAAAAAATGATTCACCCTTTCTTGGCTTAATGCTGGACCTGCCATTTTTTCAACCAAAGGATATGGTTCGTCTTGTCTGGTGACAAAAATTACTGGTGCCTTTTTTTTTTTTTTTTTTATTAAGAAGAATCTTCATGGGCACTATTATTGTTTTTGACTTTTTTCTATCAAATTTGATCCCTATTTGAATTATTTAAAGGAATGGCACCAAAAGTTGATTTAATAGCAATTCTATGTAAACCATGTAGAAAATCTGATGAAATTTCCTTTCACGTTTCCACGATCCAGACAGACAAGAAATTATAGCTGTAACAATACCTTTCAGAACGAGGCCCAAGCAAAGCAGCAGAGAGATCTTTTCCCAAGTCCAAGCTCTTGTGAAAGCTTCCATCAAAGTCACCATAAAATTCAATCTATTAAAAGGAAAACCGCAAAAAAATTGATGTTACTCGAGCAATATTGGAGAAATTTGTGATCACTGCAACAAAGGAATAACTAAATGCGAGTGCTACATGAAAAAATAGCACTAAATCAAAATTATACCATAGATTACATGCAGAATAGAATGGTTTACAGAAAAAGATCACTAAAAGGAAAAAGAAAGTGTTAGGACAGTAGGAAGGATAACAAATTAACAAGCAATTTGTGATAGTTTATTCCACTCTTTTCATTTATGCTGAAAATTGAACAGAAAAGAAAAATCCAGATATCCATCTAGGTAGTAACTCGGGTTTGATTCAAGCAATGCATTAATATCCAATAATATTGCTCTGAACAAAGATGCTACAAGGCAATAAAGAAGAGTATTATGCCTAAGTGGTTCGTGAGTCATCACCTGATAACTAAGCACAGAACAGCACACGTCATGATGTCAAAAAACACATCTCAAACAGAAATGTCATACAACTCCAGAAGAATGTAGTGGAGGGAGCACTTAATTGCATAATTGGGACAACTAGGTTAAACCCATTCAATATTCCAGTAGATGCTGAAGGCTTAAAAAAAAACTCTTTGTGAACAAACAATCCCTGATCATTTTTTCTCTTGAAGTATCATAGTAAACAAAGGAAATAACTTACAGCATCTTTGGCTTTAAGATTTTCCGCCCAGGCATTTAAAACGTATGGATCATTGACAGCCACACAAACTATCGAATCGACCCCTTTAGCCTTGAACTTATCAATATTATTCTTGTAACTAGGCACATGTTGATGGGAACAAACTCCAGTGTATGCACCCTGGAAGAATATAAATAACGCCCAGTGAAACTATCAATCTAAACAAAACATCAAATCAAGAAACAAAAGAGATTTGCAAAAGTAGATGTCAGTATCTTTTGGGATATACTATCTATCTTCTCGAGACCAAATTCAATTTTTTTACCACAAATGGATAATAAAATGTTAATCACAAATATCCAAAAACTTCAGGCAAAATGGAGAGGTTTCTCTTCATTTATGTGGTTTTGAAACCAAACCCCTTAGAAATGACATTCAAATCACACAAAAAAACTTCATCCTTTCTATTTTCACCAAATAATGTTTAGATCCCTCTCGTCAAATAATTCAGTCTATCATAACGCTGGGAAGAATGCACACCTGCTAGATGCTACTTAGTATCATTATTTCTAAATAACAGCACTCTTGTTATGCAAAGCTTGGGCTTTTACACACAACTCCCTTATGGAAAATGGATTTGGTCGTGCCATTTATTAAAGCATGAAAATTGATTTAACACTTCAATAGCTAGAAAAATGGGGCTCCTACCAAAATTCATTTATCTTAGCTTAACCGAACGGACATAATTTTTTCAAAGTTGATCATCAAGCAATAAATTGTCCTAATTTTCAACCAAACAAAAAAAAAAAAAAAATTTCATAGAAGCGTTAAAGAACAGGAAAATACTTACAGGGAGCCCAAAAATGACCACTTTCTTGCCCTGAAATACATAGTACAAAAAAAAAAAAAAAGGGGTTGAAATCATTAAAAAGAATTCAGCTAGGCTCCAATAAAAAAAAAAAAAGGAAAAAGAAACGACCTTGAAAATGTCTTTAAGAGGGGTGGTGGAGAACTTCGAAGAGACACCCTCGTCCCAGGTTCGAGCTTTCTGGAGAGAAACATCGGGTGCGGCGGAGACTATGTCAGAACCAACTGCAACCGACGCATATGCTCTTGATAACACTCCCATGCGAATCCCATCTCCTATTGACCTTAAAACAGAGGGTCTGCTACGCTTCAGAATAACTGACGCCATGCCTTGCCTGTTCCAGATTTTTCGCTGCGTAAGTGTTAAGTTGTCGAGGTTGTTAAAGTGTCGCGGGCAGGTGACAGTTTATTTACAGAGGGAGCTGGGTCTATGTGATAAGGATGGTTAGGCCGGTTTACAAGTGGCTGTTGGTCGTTTAATTTTCAGATTAATTTTTTAAACCATGATATGATTATTGAAATTAATATTTAATACCATGATATGATTATTTAGCCGATGAGAAAAGCATAATACTATACTAATAATCTTCTTTCACAACTCTGATATGACAGATCGTAATTAGCCGATTTATAATAAATCTCACATGAGTCACGTATGAGTCTTACTAATTAATTATGAACTGATCAATTATTAACTATTACATTAGGATTATGAGAAAAAATTTATAAGAAAAAGTTGTTAATATAGAGAAAATATAAAATTATATGTCATACCTATATCAAATTATCAATATAACTATTTAATTATAAAACACTTAGTTATTTGAACGTCATATGTATCCATATATCTATAGAATTCTATACGAATTAGAGAGCTGAAATCGGGACTATATATCTATATAACTCTAATGAATTAGAAGGTTGGAATCGACGAGACAGGTCTCGCCCTCGGATAATTCAAGCCAGAGGTTGAGGATGTTCTTAGTGCCAGGTTTCACACCCCAGGAGGCAAAGGAATCGGAGGGCAAGCGAGGCTTGAGCCAATCAGAGATAGACTGATGGGTGGCGAAAGAGTGGAGATTGGATTGGGAGTCGGAGTGGGAGAGGGACATGATGGGCAATTTACGAAAGCAACGAGGGTATTTTGGGAAAGAAAGAAAAGGGAATTTGAAGGGATTGGGAGAAGTAAAAAGGCTGAGAAGACCCGCGCAATAGTTTATTTGTAAAAACCATGTCCATTCTATCCAAGCTTTTTTTTTTTTTTTTTTTTTCAAATTTTCCCTTTGAACACCATTTCCCTTATATCAATGATTATAATAGATAAAAAAATAAATATGGAAAAATAACATTTTTTTTCCAATGTTACCATTTTATTTATTTGGGAGACAAATTAGCTCAAGAATAAAATTAAATTAAGAAAAGACTAACACTTAAATCATTAAGTGGGGGACTAGAGTAAAAAAGAAAAAAAAAAACTTTTAGGCTCCGTTTGGTTCATTATTGGATAGTTTTTAGAATAATCTTTTGAAAAAAATTAAATTGGGTGGGTATTACGATGTAGAATTTTAAAAATTAACATAAATAGCCCCTATATTTATTTATTTACTAAACAGCCTCAAATATAATATTCAAAATTAACAAAACACCCCTAATCCACTCATAAATAAAGACAGCCGACCACCACCGTCAGAGAGTGATCGGAGTTGCCGTATCGACGTATGACTGGCTTGATATTGTCGGTCGTGCGCCGATATGTCCTTTTCCGGCCAGATCCACTGTGGATCTGGTTGTATTTGCTCGTCAACGACGGCAAAAAATATGGCCGTCATTTTTTGCCGTCGTTGATGGTCAATGACGACCATGTGTTTGTCGTCATTGACGACTGGCTACGGCCAAAGATCTGGCCGTCAACGACCAGATCTTTGGCCTTAGATCTGGTCTTTTCTGGCCAGATCCATCGTGAATCTGGCCAAAAAAGGCTAGATCGACGCACTACCGGCCAGATTCAGCCGGTAGTGCGCTATTATACCAGATTCTAGCCATTTTCCGACGGTGGTGGCTGGAATCTGGTAAATATGGGTTGTTAGGGTTTTTTTACAATTTTTAAAAAAATACTTAGGAGTTTTTAATTAAATTAACAAATTTAAGAGGTTTAAAAAAAGTTGAATAATATTGTGAGTTTTTACAATTTTACTGTTTAACTTTATTGGGAATACTAATAATAGTATTCCCAAAAGGGAACCAAACGGAGCCTTAGATTTGATGGTGTTTGTTAATTGTAATGAGAAATTAGGTCTAACGAGTGAATTCTAGAGGTTCGGCTCAAATAGAATTCATGTGCAAACAAACTGAGGACAGCTAGCTTCTGCAGGTTCCCATAAGTTTTCAGGCGGTTCAAAAAGCACTTATTTGATTCTTTTACTGATGTGATGGTAGGTTCATGCTTCAATTGTGTTTAACATGTTTAATACTGAAAATTACTACACAATTTCAACAAGAGGATTGTGGAGTTGTCTTGATCTAATATTTTCCAAAGCATAAACAAACAACCAGACTGATTGCTTTAATCAAGTATTTGGGCAAAACTATAGTCTATTGGCCACAATAGAATGATCACTGACATATGAATTGGAATGCTGTGCAGTTAATACTTCTAAGCTTCTTCAATGAGCAAAGTTGTCTTGTATAGATATGGTTTCTATCACTCTTGCACAGTAATCATATAAGATACAATATCATGTAGTACAACGGGTCCATAATCTGCAGAACAAATTTATATTTCAACATAAGTTAAGTCTTGTTGAAGGTCTTAATCTGGATTAGTCATTTGTTCCCTACTATAAAAATGCGTCTTGATGAAAGTATCTATCAGTCAAAAAATTAAATCTGAGACATGGAGGAAGTCTTGTTTGTTGAGAATGATATCAAAATTTTGATTGAAGTCCAGAAATCACCTTTTAGCAATGTTCACCAACCATTGGGACAGCTGCGAAACAACAAGAATGCCATATGCATACACCTAAATATCAAGCACCAAGAACTTCTAGGTACCTGAAACTAAAAATGGATTAACATTGTCACATTCCCAGTAACAACACCATTTCACACATAGCCAAAAATACAATGAAAGGGCATCTCAAATAGACTCTCTGTCGAAGAAATAAAGATCAATTTAGAAGAAAAAATGCTTCTGAACTATTTAAACATGCATTAGGCATGCAACTTCAAAACAGTATCTGCAAGAAATGGAGAGCTATTGTCCGACACTAACTTATCAGAACGGAAGAAAACAAAGACATTTATGGAGTTTTTCAAGGAACAAGGAGAAGTTAAAACATGTCCCAAACTGGATGAGAAACAAAAAATATCCAACAAAAGTGTTCAACACAACAGAAAAACAATAGATCATACTTACACAATCATGTAAATCAAACACTGTTCTTATACGCAATGACAGAAGTTTCAACTCACTATGCTATATCATGAAATATAATGATATATGATATCGGTTTTCAATGTAACTACCTTTCCTAACACATTCAGAATGATACATTTGTAAGTAGTAAGAAATATTTGATCCTCCTTATATGTTATAGATCAATTCATGGACTACTTACTTCTTTTTTGTGCATGCCACTTTTCTATACTTCCGTACCAATTCCATTGGAAGCATAGACCGGCGAAGCGTATGATACCAGCAGCAAACACTTCAACAAATGCCATAAGGAAAGATCTTTGAGGAGATAAACCGGCAGTTGCAATAGACAATAAAAGTCCCTCAAAGTTGCAAGGGACAATAAAACTACCAGATTGGATACCATGTAGAGCTTTCTTAGCAACTTCATCAGCTTTCATTGCACCAGATGAGGCTGCTATAATGCTGGTGAGCTGCGGTCTTCTCTTAGTTTCTGCAAAAGATGGCACTTTCTAATTAGCATGCCCAACTCAGTTACACACGACAGCAGACACAATACAAAAGGAAGATTGTGTTTGACGTAGTTTTGTCACTGTCTTGCATAGAATTGTTCCCCTTTTCGGATTTTTTGATCTATTAGAGGATTTCTAATCCACGGATGTACCTACCTCAATCTCTTCTTTAATATAATTTCATAATTTCTTATAAAAAAAAAAAAAAAAAAACTAGCACTAACTTTGATGACACACTTAATACAAATCTTTCTAAAGAAGTAGACAAGCATATTATTGCAATACCATACCTTCCTCAAGACCAGGAGTCTCTGTGTCTGGAGGGAATATAAGAGAAACATGGATATTATCCACAATAACCTCTTGTTGCAATGCTTCTGCTAAACCTCGTAGGCCAAACTTACTAGCTGAATAAGCTGTGTAACCATAAATGCCCACCTGCCCACAAATAAATAAAGAAATCCCATGTCAACAACCAACAATTCCCTACATTCAGAACTAATGCGTAACTCTTCTAATCAGCACGGGAGAACTATGAAATGCATCTTTATTTTAAAATTTGAAACATCGCGTAGTTGGTCATGAGTAATGCTACAGATGCAAGTAATATTCCAAATGATGTGTCATATAATGTGGCATTGCATTATCACTTACTATTTTAGTTCATATTTATACATCAGTGTCAGATAGCAATTTGTAATAACGTTATTTGTTTGTTAACAAACGTCATCTTACAACAAACACAATCATATCAAAATCTGAAGCTATTACAATTGCAAGAATCTATATTATCCTAAACTAAACTATGGCATTCTATACTACCTAGCCATAAACTATGAAATGAATATAATATACCTGACCGGCCTGAGATGACATAAAAGCAATTGAAGCAGGCCCATGACCGTCCCTCTTCTTAATTAGCGGCAATGCAGCTTTAATCATATTAAAACTTCCCATCAAATTCACATCAATCATGAACCTCACCTCATCCAATTCCTCCTCCTCCAACTCTTGAGGCACGAACACGCCTTGATTAACCACCAACACGTCTATGGGCCCCGCCTCGTTAACCGCCTTTTTCACAGCCTCGAAATCCCTAACGTCCGCAGCATATGTCGCCACTTCGATTCCCGTGGCCAGGTGAATCGATTGTTTTGCTTCTTCCAGCTTTTGAAGGGAGCGTGCAAGGATGGAGACACGAGCCCCTTCTTGTGCGGCCCGCTGGGCCAAGGCCAGACCGATGCCACTTGATCCGCCAGTGATGAACACGTGCCGATTCTTGATTGGGATTTTGACGGGCTTCGGCCGGACGATGAGGCGTAGGATGAGGAGGAGAGAGAGGGGGAAAAGGAGGAGTAATAATAGAGAAAGAAAAGCGAGGGCCATTCCGATGATGGAGATTGGAGAGAAAGTAACTGAAATGCACTGTGGTGATGCCTTTCAAGTCTGAAAAATGATTACTACTGATTGTTTGACTTACGATAGTGTTGCTTCGACTAATCCTCCCAGATCTAGCCGCGTAAGCATTCTCCTTGTTTGACTTACGATAGTATTGCTTCGACTGATCCGTCCAGATCTAGCCACGTAAGTATTTGGGTCAGCAATGCTTCAGTCCCTGTCAATTCAGAGACGTTAGAAAGTGTTAGACGACGTAAGGGCAATTCTGTCTTTTGTTGCATAATAAATTTTTAAAAATTTAACATAAAATTAAAAGTTTATTAAAAACAAAGTCACAATTTAAAAACAATAGTACCCACCTCCAAAGCAGCCAGACAAAGCAGCCTATGGCCACCATCATTGGCCCAACCCACAATAACAGCAAATCAAACTGATTTTATGGGATCCGATTGGCACACTCTTTTTCTAATATCCTATCCTAAAAACAAGAAAATGTATTTGTTTTAATATTTTTAAAATCTAATTTTATTCTATTTAACTTAAAAATTAAAAATTACATTTCTCAATAAAAAATTTAAAATTAACAAAAATATCTTCATCCACCAAAGCCATTATCATCTATTAGCATCCATTGCTACAACAACGTATAACCAACTAGATCTGATCGATCATATACTGATCTGTTCGTTGATGACGATCATATTTTGGTCATCAACAATGACCAAGATATGACTGTCAACGGTTAGATCTATGGTCATAGATCTGGTTAAAAAAGACTAGATTGACTCACGATTGGCCAGATTTAACCGATCGTATACCATTCTGACAGATTCTGACCATCTTCCAACAATGGTGGCCAGCTGACGATAATATGTGGATGAATAAAAGTATTTTTATTAATTTATAAACTTTTATTGTTGAAAGTGTTTAATTAAATTAACAAACTTAAGGATTAAAAATAATCTAAATATTAAAAAAAATGTACCAAAACTCCTCGAATCCCATCATATTTTCTAGATGCTACTCTAAAAAGCTAACTAAACGGAGCCTTTTTTTTCACCTCTCACCATCAGATTGTGTTGTTCGCTGTGGGAGATGACGGCGATGGATGCGGTGGAGTGGAGTGGAGGTAACGGCGGGCAGCAAAGGAGATGGGTGGGGTGACAGTCGGGAGCGACAGTGAAGCGTAGGGCAATGGTAGCGTGGGGGTGATTTTGAGTGGCCCTGTGTGCGGGTAGGGTGGGGAGATTAATGTTAAGTTAATTTTCTTTTTTTTTTTTCAATTTTAATATATTCTTTATGAGGCATTATCGACATTTTTGTCAAACATTAACAGAGACCGAAATCTTCAAACGTCGATGAGCTGACAGGGAGTTAAGCCAGTAGAAAGAACTATTTGTGAATGAACAGATATGCTTCAACTGGAGCAACGTAGAACTTTGGTCCAGAGAGCAGTAACTCTGAGAATACATGTTAACCAAGGCTCAACTACCAAATTGAAAGGAAAGGAAAAACAAGAAATCTTTCCCATGCCCATACTTAGCTTTCAACCAATGCTACCAAAGGTGGGTTGGATATTCAATTCAAGGAGATTGTCTCAGCTAATATTGTACATACACTTCATATTTTGTGGATTAAAATTGCAGCAACACTATCTTAAATAATTTGCTAGGCCCACACAATCTTGTACCTTATTGACTAGTTTTCCAAAATCCAAAGGCATTAACTGAATGTAACGAGTTCACATCTCTTCTTCTTTACTAAATTATTAGAGTTATTGACATGAAAGTCCAGGTTGTTATGGGGCAGAGGTAAGCAGGCGTAGGGCAAATTTTGCTGTGATAGAGGGCATTCTTCAAATGCTAAAAATCATTTCATTTTCTTTAGTTTTCTATCTGAGCTGGTGTTCATGTGCCCACTTGTCTCCTCTTTTCTCAGCTTGTGGGGTGTTTCAGATATGGAGAACAAATTTGTGGGAACCCACAACACATCCATTATTTTCATTTAATAATTCACCGAATGTTTGATCCAGTTTTCTATATAACTTGATCAGTACTAGATTTCCTTTCATAACTTGAATAAATCGTCTCTTTTTATTCAAAGAAATCAGAGCAAATATTCCCTAACCATCACTTTAACTAGCTTTGCAATTTCCACAACCTCTTTTCTTTTTTCTCTTTGATGAGTGACATTAAGGACCATTGAAAATTTAAAGCATAAGACAAGATTGGGTTGAATTTTGAAAAGGAATTGCTGAGTCAGAGTGGCATTAAAACATAGCCAAATTAGTCATGTAATCAAACAAGTTATAGTTTTAGCTTTCTAGCTTTAAGTTTTCACACAGACAGGGTCCCTGTCAAAAAAGTGAGAGGTCATGTGAGATGGTCTAGGGTTCTCAGTTTGGGAAAAGGGAGGTGAAAGCCATATGGGAATTCAGGAATGCAAACGAAAATTATGGCCTAGACAATATGGAAATCATGATTGTTGGAAAAAGACTCGTAGACACAGACGTGAGATTAAAGAAAACCTTAAGTGAAGGCAGGGATGAAGTAAGAGAAATCAAGATCTAAGCTGCTGTTTGTCTTTACAAATGGCATATATGATTTTGCACACTCCACAATTCAAGTTGGCAGGTTTTTAAAGCATTTTTATTTTAACTTTCTGATAAAATTCAGACTAAGATGAGAATCCAAGAATAAACAGGAGCATAATTGAATATCTTCTATAAACATATTGATTATAGAGGCAGAGATTAATTGATGCTGTCTTGGACTAGTTAATAGAATCCAAGAATGAACAGGAGCATAATTTAATATCTTCTTAATCTCTTTTGCTTTTTAGCTGTGCTTGCAACTATAGCCAATTGCTTGAAGCTGTCATTTCAGTTGTATGATGTTTTTTTCTTTTCTATTCAAAATATCAACATCTTATCAACAAAGTGGAGGATTTAACAAACAAAAAGAGGATTTGCCAATAACAAATCAAATTTCACTTCTGGGATTCTTCACTACTCTGTAGTAAATTGAAGGGAAAAGAAATAAGACCATTTACTATGAGTGGCTAATTTCTTGTTGAAGATACTCAATAAGACCTTTATAACATGAAGTTGTTTGAGCTCTTGTCAAGTTTCCCAGTAGAGCAGGATATTAGCAGACAGAAGGGAATCAGAAGAACAGAGTAACACATCAAATTAAATATAATCAATACTAAATCAGATAATTAATTGCATTAATCGAATATGACAAGCTTATCCTATATCATACTCAACAACAACAACCATACATTAATTTTCATTATTGTTGAGATACAAACCTTTATGTACCTCCCCAAAACCAAATAAAGAACACTTTTAATTTAATGTACATATCACTATATGTATTATTATTAACCATAAACTCCTCGCCTTTGCACTTTGTTGGTGAAGGGATTAGTATTGATAGTTTAATTCTACACTTCATGAAGATGTTTCCACCTTAGCCTTTTTTGGAGTTAAAAGAATGGTTGTAAGATACTTGAGAAACTGTTCTTGCTTTATCATGATGCCTATGAGATTTTGAGTTGAATGAACTGAATCTTCCCTGCCTGTGCTTTCTTCTTGGTTGCGTCGACTGAGGTATAAAAACTCCAGTTCCTTTGCTTTCTCTTCTACAACTTTGCTCATAGAAAAATGGGGAAGGTGCTGTTTGATGGTTTGCTCTAGAGAAGGCCTGAAATTGTAATATACAGCCAAATTTAGTTCAGTTAAAGTTCAGTTGCGTACACTTGATGCAAGTACAAGAAAAATGCAAGAAAGCAAAATTAAAATGTAGCAAAGAAGCATGAAAGAAACCTGGAAAGAAACTGAAGGACATCTTGCAACAGGGTCCTCATCATCATCCATGATTAGAAGAGAAATTTGCTTGCTCAAGTCTGCAAAAAATAGATCATCCTCTACTTCCATAGCCACTCCAAGAAGTAAAAACTTGAACAGTAGTGTTAAGCCAAAAAAAAAGGGGAGAAAAATATATTCAGCTCATAAATCTGCAAAACTAATCCCACAAACTTTTCCGTTTCTCCAATGCAATGGGATATAAGTGGTTATAAATAGGGAAAGGCAAGAGATGGAAGAGTTAAAGTTAATATGGGTTATGCATGTGGGGTGGTGGGGTCTTATTGGCAGTTGGCCATCTGGCCAAGCCCCACAAGAATCATGAAGTGTTGTTATGATATTATCAAGTTGAAGAAAATAGATGAGGAGGAGCAAGTAAAACCCCAAACCCAGATCTCTAATCCAAGATAGACTCGATCTCCAGCTCTAATCCAAGATAGACTCGATCTCCAGCATACTTGGCTGTAAATGGGTGGCTATCCTATCACTCTTTTATCTTTTTTTTCATCTCTGACCCTGAAAATAAAACAAGGTATGGTTCGAAATTTATAGTCCACAGTCCACAAATATTTATCACTAAAACTCCTTATCTGATATCTTGATGGAGTTCTATTCAATCAGTTTCAGCATTAATACTAAGCAACAAAACAGTCAAACTGTAGTTGCCAGAGGATCTATCAACTTGAAATTTTGTCTGTAGGGCTGGCCCAAAAGTGACCACTAACTTCAGCTTTACATGAGTTTGAAGATTCTTAAAATCTCAAATTGAATGTAAAATTTCCAGGGATTGACTCTTAACTCTTGCCTTCAAATAAGTGTGAAAATAATTTAAAGTCTGTATTAATTTGAGTTCATCCCGAAAGATTTATCATACGAGGTCAAAAATATATTGGAAAAATGCGTAACACGTCCTATGGGCAATGAGAACCCTCTTTTCCCTTCTTTTTCTTTCTTCCAACTTCAGAGCCAGATGGATGAAGTACTTTTTCTTCGGAAAGCAAGAAGTTGAATTATAGGAGTCATTTGGTCCACACGGTTTGCTGGCTGGCTTAGGGACCCGCCCATATGCTAGAACATAATGCTGCATGGATCTTCATGACCCCTTGATTTGATGTTTCCAAATCTTGATTATCATTATACCTTTAAATAGAGAGTATTAGATTTTTTTCCCACTCAAATAATGTTTTAATGACACTTTTTTATTCAAAATTTTTCAAAATACAACAATGCTATCCAAACGGTATGTTTTATTAATAATTTCCATCAAATATAAAGATATTTTATTGTGAAAATGAAATACCCCCTCCAAAGATCAACCCCCAATAGTTGGCCACCACAAATCAAAGTTTCGCACTCCTCAACCAATTTTGGCTGATTTCGGCATCGGAAATCAACCCTGTCACCTAGGGGTGGGCAAAATTTTAGGGTAGAACCGAAACCAACAGATATCCGAGTGTCAATTTCGGTTCCTACCTGGAACCGGCCGTATAATAAGGTAGGTTTCGGTTCCAAAAAATTGGAATCGATACTATGCAATTCCGATTCCGGTTTCAAATCAAAGGAATCGGGACTAGAACTAAATTGATATAATATTAAAGAATAGGTTTTTTTTTTGATATTTTGCATATGAGATTTTTTTGATATTTTGCATATCATGTAAATATATAAGAAAATTTTGGTTTTTTTTATTTTTTATTTTTATTTTTTATCTTAGTATCAAAATTCTTATTAATTTTCGTTAAAAGATCCGTTTTTAAAAATATTTTTATTAATATTTAAGTTTCACTTATTACCTGATTAAGAAATTAATATACATTAAGATATTTACGTTAAATAATAGCTTTTAAATATTTATTATCGGTGAAAACAAACAATTAAATACTTATAATCAAACATCAAACATCAAGTAAATATAAACAAATATATTATTTAATGTTTTACACTTAATTTTTAAGGGTGTAATTGTAATTTTATAAGGGTTTATTTGTCATTTAAAAAAAAAAAGGGATAATTGATATTTTCGAAGGTACTCGGAACCAGAACCCACGGTTCCGGTTTCGGTTCCAAATCAAAAGAACCAGTCGGTTCCGGTTCCTTTGATTTTGAGCGGGTACTCAAACCCGCCCACCCCTACTGTCACCAGCATCCCCCCAACAAAACCCCTCTCACCCCACCCACAATCACTCCTCAATCCCTAACGCCACTTAGGGGCAAAGGGTTGAGCAGGTGGTGTGCGTGGATGGAGCAACAAGGTTGGAGAGATAGGGACGGTCGGCAACCAAAAAAAAAAAAACAAAAACGGCACAATCAACAACACAACACTTCAAATAGCAATCCACTGATTAACATCAGATAAAAACCAACCAAAAGCAGGTGAACAACTTGTTTTATTGGACAAACACACTGTTTTCTGTAAGCCCTACAAATAATATTTTAAAAATTAATATGTATCTAATAAGTTTTATGGGACTACCACATGATCCTGACCCAAGACTCATAAATGAAATAGACCTAACATGAAAATTTTAGTATGTTGGTTCTGATTATATAAGCAGGACACAAATTTTTACAATTGTTTTCCCTATAAATACAAGATGAGATCGAGGGAACCCAAAAGTATACCCAATGGCATTATATAAACTCAAAAAAAATTGTTAATATCATTGTTCTCGGTAACAGAATCATTTCTGGAAAAGATATTCGGAAGAATATGAGAAAATGTTACCAAGTACAGAACCATCCACATTGTTGACGAATTTCTACCTTTTCCCACAAATTTCAACCTTTCCCATTTGTGAAACAATGTGTTCGTTTCAAGTAGAAGTTGGTGCAATCAATAAATCATGCCCCTCCAGCCATATCCATATCTGTAACGCCATCAATTCCCTTGAATGCAACACGCAATTTTCTCAGACATGAGGTCTTCTTGTCATGCTTGTCGGTTGTACCAGTCACATGGACAATGTCCTTCGGAATTTTACCCATAAGGTCATAAAGTGGCAGACTTAGGTTCGATCGGGTCATCTCTTCCAGAACTGGTGGTGCTTGCATATACAGATTCTTCCCTCGGTGCGTAACACTTGCTTTTGATAACAGCAGCTTAGGATGCTCTTCAAGTTGATGAATGAACTGCTTCAACAAAGTACAGTTTAAAAAACCATCAATCAGATATGTGCATACACATTTTCAATATGCTAACAGCATACTATGGCTCAGATCAGCTTCAGTGAATAAGTCCATGTCCATCTGGTCCGTAATTTATCAAACAGGTCAATTCCACTTAAGATACTAGGGAGTTGAAGCAACAATCTCATTTTATTAATTGCTGGCCACCAGAATCTCAAATTATTGGAAAAAAAACTGATCAAGAATTTGATTCTTGGGACAAGCTGAATGAACCGAACTCTAAGCTGACTTCTACGCCCAAAACCAAGACGCAAACAAGGCCAAACTTATGGTAATCCACAATAATGTTTAAACCCGAAGTCACTGCAGCTGAATAAGTGACCCACGGAAAATATAATACTGAGTCCATGATCACAAACTAAAAAAGTAAAAACTTATTTGCCAAAACAGTGAGAGAAAACAGCCAAGAGAAATAGAAATAACCTTTTCTAATGTAACTGAAGTGTCCAACTCAATAAGAACCCCCGAACCACACACAAGACAGTCTTTGTCCCTCACAAATTCAGTCACTTTTATATGTAAACCTTCCACTCCATTATACCTACAAAAAGATGACGCAAATTAGTAGTCTACCAAAATGTTTAGTTACAGAATGAAACCAAATTTTTTCTCCTAAATCTTGAATATCAAACATTCAGTAATGACCCAAAAATTAAAAGATACGAGTAAGAAAGTGAAAGACGACCTTGTGAAAAGATTTTAGAAACAATTATGATTACCCTAGTATCATTATGATCACAAAAAAAACACAGTTCACCATCTATCTATAAATTGAGCAAATCAAGCCAAAATATAGCACAGCCTTTCAAACAATGCTCTTTCAGAAAAAAGAGTTGCCTAGTTGAAATCAAAATTATTATAAGAAAAAAGGATGCGAGAGTTGGACATACGTTAAATAGTTTGATAAAGTTTTGCTAAATCCTGATGCAATCTTCAAGGTTTCAAGGGCACATGCTGCTGATATAATTGCATTAGTGGAAGCAATTGCTGGTATGATGTTCTTCACCACACCCTGTAAATAATAAAGATCTTACTGTAAAGTGGGACATTACATCAAAGATGTAGAGTACAAACAATACATTTATGTATAAGGATTTTCAAGCCCATATGTTGTTTAAAGAGATAAAGAAATTATAAAAAACGACCATGAGGCCAAACCATACGTGGATCAAGCAAATTTAAAGAACTTCAGAGAAATTAATTTTTTATCATCATGGAATCAACCTATACCTGAGTGAGAGAATATGTAACTCCTGGAATGCCAAAAAGCTCGGCTCTCTTGACAGCCTATGGGAATGGATATTGGTAGCATTAGTGAAAGGGGCAATAATGAAAATCAATACCAAGAAAAACAGCACATAGTAGCTCCATATAATTAACCTCGGAGTAGACCCACTTCATATGTTCAGGGTCATCCGCATCAAAAGCCTTTCCGCTGTGAACCTGTAAATAAAAACCATGATAAGATGACACACAATAGGCCCAAAACATCAGTTAAAAAGGAGAAAGGAGCAAAATATAACCAATATATTACCTCATCCCATTTGATTAAGTGGGCATATTCAATACAATGGGCAGCATTTCTAGGGGTTTCTGCAAGAGTGCATAGAGGAAACTTCACTTGAGGAGGGAATAGCCAGATTGTACACTCAAAGCATGGTGTGACACCTGGCACAATAACCCTTGCATGGCCCTTGAAACCTTCGGTCCCACCATCTACCATAGGTTTGATTGTTTCCTCTCGTGGTTTGTCATCAGAGGCATACTCTATATTTCCAAGAAAAAGATAATTCACAATACATTAGAATAAGCATAACTTAGAATGCACTTCAAAAATATTTCCAATAGAATAAAAATAAGGTTTGAATAACAAAATTTTTAGATTCACAACTTAAAAAGATTTGTCCCACAGGAAAATCAAGGCAAATACAAGAAATCCAAATTAGTTAAACCTTGCTGGGCATTGACAAGGATTAGGAGAGACCCTTAGGGAACTGCCTAAAGCAGCTTTTCTGAGATGATTCATTGGTGGAGCACCATTAGACAGAGTATCTCATTTCCATGCCCAAAGTCATTCACACCCAGAAGGTATAAGAAAACTGAAAAGAAAAAAATCACTGCACCATTGACCATATAAATTATGCCACAATAAACTTCTCTCATTCATTCATCTAAGGTATCTATGGCCCAAGTTCTTCAAGTTCATGCCACAAGCATAAGGCTTCCACAACATCCATGAGCCACGTCATTCCCTATAGAACAAACTCATGGCATAAAAAGCTTGCCCATAAAACAATTTACACCACAACTTCTGACCAAACGAAAACTTGGCCTCCAAAAGGAATTGAATCGTTTCTAAGAAAAAAAAACTTGATCATTACAATAATGAAGGAGGATAAAAATAATTATACTACACGTTAAAAAAGTTCTTGGAGAAGAAAAGCTCAATAAAACAATTTGATATTAATACATATGAGGTCAGACAAAAACAAACAGAAAAGATAAACTTCATGAGTTTAACTTCACAGCAAAGAAAAGCACGGATAAATTTGATGAGGTTAACTTCACAGCAAAGAAAAGCACAGACAAATATAGAGAGATATATGAGAAAAATTGACGAGGTCAAAATACGCACCAAGAAAACCACAAGCTACTGCATTTATGTAGCTCCGAGCCTCAATGGAATCAAGACCAAGGACAATGATATTAAAATCATTATAAAATTCAATTTCTTTGTCCTCAATCCGACAAAAATGAGGAACAATATTCACACCACTAACTCTTTCCATGACACGCTTAGCTGCAACTTCAGCCTTTGGCTTGCCAACATCTTCCACCCTACATTAACAAACCCAAAATTATATGAGACTTCAAATTGAAAATTCAATACCCATGAACTCACTATAACCACCTCATTCAAAACCGTGTGCTATATTTCATTTTAGTACAATAATGCTTTCTATAAAGGTAATTGCCTTTTGTTCAGAAGGACAACTAGCCCTGTCAACACTCTTGAAAGCATATTTTGCCATACCATCAAAGTCAGGTATATCATAACCACTTCTGCAATAAACGCCATCTTTTAATAATAAATAACTGTTAAAAGAGGGACACCAATGACCAGTTGATTAACAACATTACTTGGAACATGCCGAGATTCTTTCTCAACTTGTTACAACTCAAAATAAATGAAGTAAAATTTCTATGCAGTTTGAGCAAATATCCATTTCATAAAACCAATAAAATGAAGAAACTGGGAATATAGTTGCCAACAAATAATAATGATGATAATTATAATATAGAAAATCACTACTCTCTTAGCACTTCTTACTTACGATGATCAACCCTTTATCTATCTTGATACACAATACACAACCACACATCCCTAGCTCAGGTTTACGCAACTTGAATTTTCCTCAGTTTGGTGCAAGTAACTCAGTATCATGCTACTTAAGAAATACTAATACATCAAGATGTATTTAATTGCTAATACGAAACATAACATCGATTTTGAATAACCCCAAGAAAATTGACCATATATGGAAAAAAAACCTTGATACGCTTAAATTAAAAGGAAAAACCTGAAAAGAAACTGTCGATTGAGATTAGAAACTTCGATACGGTCCATGTCAATAACCTCTAGATTCTTAAAACCCGATAAAGCCAAGTCCTTTAAGAGCTCACAGCCTAACCCACCAGCCCCAACCACCAAGATTCGCGCATACTCGCGTAGGTCATCTCTCAACTACAGCAACAAGAAGATCCCAAAAGCCAATAAAAAACATAAACCAAAATTCCATAGAAAAACCATAATCGCAAGCCATGTGTTTGTTAAAATGCCACAAAGAATGAGATGAAGGAATTACTTCAACGCCGGGTTCGAAAGTAGGACCTACAAGATTGCCGGGTCGGAGAAGAAGCTTGTCGAGGTCACGTGATCGGCTCGGTGTAACGATGGAGTCAGCCATTTTTAAGAACACTCAGTGTTGCTATCTATCACTGTCTGAATCTCTGGTGGTTGTTTCGTTTGAAAAGCGAATTAAAATTTTTGAAGTCTGGAAAGGAACAAAACGTTGTGAAAATATGCCGTACTAAGTGCAACGTGGGGGAAGTAGTGTGTACTAATTAGCTTGGCTTTTACGCTTGGCCTTCGTTTGTAATTTTATAGTTATTAATAGGAGTGGACGAACAAAGGCTTTGGGCTTTTATTGCACCAAAGTTCATGTAGAGAACCAGTGAATAATGAGTACGGACCACTCTTGGATTATAATTTTGTCCAATTTTAGAACTAGATTATAAGATTTACATGATCAACTTTAATCATGATAAGAATAATCACAAGTAGCTCCAATAATTGCCTTATTTCCTTAATAAGGATATTAATTATTACCCTGAATTAGTGATATCAACTTTAGCTTTATTATGGGCTTCTTCTCTTCATTTATTGGATGCCCACAAACTTCAAGAACTTTAACTCTTCTTACTGATTATTTATTTAATAAAGATTGGTTCACTAACTTATTAGTATGTGTGATTTTTCCATCAAGCTTGGAGTATCGTGAGGTTATAGTCTGATCCAATTTCAACTCAACTTCACCGATTGTCCAACCCAGCATAAGTTCGTCAAGCTATAGCTCAACCTATCACAAGCTAGTCGCGACCAATCCTTGCGGTCGTTTAACCAATTCCCAGATAATTTCAAATTTTGAATATCTCGGGAAGAATCAGATCGATAGCCATCTTTGTGCCCAATCGCAATAATATCGGAGTTGCATTTCAACTTAATTTTAATCCCTTTATTTTCGCTCTTTTCTTTGTACAAACTCTGCATATAAACCTCTCAAACGATGAGGAAGGGGTTAGAAAATTTTTCTAGGATTATCATTGTAAGCTCTCACAACAAATACAAAAAACAGTGGACGTAGGCTCAAGAGTTCATCTCGCCGAACCACTTTAAAAATCTCTTTGCCATTTACTTTACTGCATTCATCATTCATTCACTACTAGTTATCCGTAATCACGCACACACTAGTTCTAATCCCACCAAGGTTGATCGGATCACTCTTGTTGGTGTAGATTTCTGTATCAATATTTTGGCGCTATAAAGAGGGTCTTTGCCAACATCTCAGAAATTCCAGCAAACAGCCACAACGATTTAATCAATCCGGGCCCACGATGGTGTGTACAAGATCAAAAACCACCATAGAAAATCACAAAAATGTGGAGACTACCCATTAGGAGGTGCAACAAGACACTGTTGGGCATCGACCACCAGTGCCACCAACTCAACAGTTTGCGAATAACCAGCGGGAGGGACGTCAAACCCCGAAAACGACCAACTGGTGGAGATGACTAGAACAATGGTTGCATAGGTGGTGCAACAGAACGTGGCTGAGCTGAGAAATTAACAACCAACCAACCGCACAAAACCTTGACCAACCACACTTCACCAATATCACTCCCAACAGGTTAGAATTCAGCTAGTGACCAATCTGGCTCATCAGCACCAAGGGGCGATCGACGCCGCCGATGTCACAGAGTACACTCCGCTTACGAGCATGAATCCCGCGGGCAAACTAAACCCGGGAGGCGACCAGGGAAACAACCAATGGGTGAGAGTGAAGGTAATGGTCGCCCATGGAATGCTTGACCTACTCGATGATATCCCCAGCATCAGCGTGTTGGTCTTAACCCACGTCTAGGAAAAGCTCGATCCTCGCAAGCTCACAAGATGAGTCATGTGCGTCAATCTGGCAATGACCGATGTTCCAGTTATAACCACGTCGCGAGCAACGCACTGACGAGAATGACAACACCTATCAACCAAGCCATCATGACTCAACTTTGCGCATTAATGCGCATAATGGAGGGGGCTCGCCAGCAACAGATTTACGAACTCACTTGCTCGAGGCAAGGCTGAACAAAGCCAGCCAAGGCAATCACAACGAAGACTTAGATCGTGTGTAGAAAATGCTCAACAACCTAAGAGCTCGCCAAAACAAGGCGGCAGAAGAAATAATGAGCTCCTCCTTCACAGAGGAGGTTCGCCAGGCCCCGCTTCCACAAGGATTTAGGGCACCAAAAAATAAGTTCGACGGGAAAGGAGATCCTAGAGACCATCTCGATACTTTCAATGACTTAATGGAGCTGCACCAGGTCTGTGATTTGGTGAAATGTCACTGTTTCACGGTCACATTGGTCGGGGATGCCAAGAGATAGTACAAAAGACTCAAGGTGAACTCCATCAGTTCTTGGCAACAATTCTCCTCACTGTACTTGCAACAATTCCGAGCGAGGAGGCGGTTTGCAATGCCGCTCAGTTACTTGAGCAACATTTGTCAGGAAAGAGAGGAAACATTGACCTCGTATTTAACAAGGTTCTAGAACAAGCAAGCAAAGGTCGCGGATGTACCCGAAGAGTCAATTCGGACTTTTCTAATTGCAGGCATCAGGCCGCAAACGAAGTTATGGAAAGAGCTCCAAAGTGAAGATCACATGAGCTTGACAAAGTTTTATTAGATGGCTGCAAAACACCAGCGAGTAAAAAGCTTGCTAGCAGCCCTAGCCAGAAGCTCGCCACGAAGAGCCTTAAACAGGCGATAAGATCACTTGTCAGATAAGTAGAGCGGCCAATATCGCAATGATAGGGACCAAACAGGTCCCAAAAAAGACAGAAAATAGATAATCGCGGGGACAGACCGCTCTTCTCACGATACGCAGAATACACCCCCCTCACACAAGACATAGCCCACATCTACAAAGTCTCCCGTGAGGCGAAGAGATTGCCCGCTCCAGAAAGAATGAGGGGGACTTCGTGAAGAAGAGATCGGCAAAAATATTGTCGATACCATCGAGACATCGGGCATAATACCAACGAGTGTTGGGCCTTAAAGGATGTCATCGAAGACCTTATACGAAAGGGTCACTTAAAGAAATTTGTTAAGGAGGCACCAGCTCGCAAAAATGTTGGCAAGCAAATTAACCAGGTCCAGCAAGCCTCGGCCAATGCCAACAATGATGTCTTAGTGGCATGATCTATGGGGGGCCCGACATAGCAAGGAACTGAAGGCATGCTTGCGAGCAATATGCTCGAGAGGCCATAACAAATTCGGTCCCTTGGGTAATAAGCTATGAACAAAAGCCACCAAAGCGGCCTAGATAGGAGAGCAAGGTGGTAGGATTCACTGTCGAAGAATGCGAAGAATACCCTTACCATAATCATGATGTAATCGTAATCGTAGCCAGGATCGGTAATGCCAAAGTGCTGAGGGTGATGGTCGATAATGAAAGTGCAACTAATATCATTTTCTTGGGAGCTTTTCGAGAAATGAGGTTCACAGAGAGAGACTTGAGGGCGTGTCCTTTGCCACTTTATGGATTCATCAGGGACAGCCTGGTTCCCAAGAGAACGATCGACCTTCCTATGACTCTAAAGGTAGAACCCAAAATCAGGATGGTGATGAATGGATTCTTAGTGGTAGACTGCCCGACCAGTATAATGTCATCCTCGAAAGACTGATCTTGGATGATTTGAGCGTAGTCACATCAATGCACTACCAAGCAATGAGGTTCTCAACTCCCGAGGGAGTCACGACAATCAAACGCTGCAGAAAAGAATCTCGGGAATGTTACAACCAGGCCACAAATGCTGCACTAGAATGGCCGCTCCTGAGGACAATGGTCATTACGAAATTTGAGCTGCACCCTAGACCTCTCTAGGATACCATAGATTCTTGCATCCATAGAGAACAGCCCGTAGTAAGGCCAATAGAAGAGTTGCGAGAAATATGCATTAGTGAGGAAGATCCAACTCGCATACTAAAGGTCAGTAGTAGCTTGAGCAAAGAGATGACTGACAATCTGGTGGGGTTTCTGAAGAAAAATCTCGTCGTGTTCGCATGGGTGCATGTAGATATGGTGGGGATTAGCCTTAAGGTAATGTGGCAAAGGTTGAACGTTGACCCAATAGCTCAGCCAATAAGACAGAAAAGAAGGTCTATGGATATAGAGCATTCTAAAGTGCTCAAAGATGAAGTTGACAAACTCTTGAACATCAACTTCATTAGAGAAGTGAATCAGAGAAGTGAAGTACCCGGATTGGCTCGCCAACCCAGTCCTGGTTAAGAAGTCGAATGGTAAGTGGCAGACTTGTGTCGACTTCACAGATTTATATAAAACCTGTCCCAAAGACAGCTTTCTGTTGCCACAAATTGACTAGTTAGTAGATGCAACAATTTGAAACGCACTACTCAGCTTCATGGATGCATACTCGAGATATAACCAAATCCTGATGTATCAGCCCGATAAAGAACATACCTCCTTTATTACTGACCGTAGGATTTATTGTTACAGGGTTATATCGTTTGGTTTGAAGATTGTAGGACAACCTACTAGCGTTTGGTGAACAAGATGTTCACCTACTAAATTGGTAAAATTATGGAGGTGTAGATTGACGACATGCTCGTCAAGTCAAAGGTTGCTGAAAGCCACATTGAGCATCTGGGGGAAATGTTTGACATCTTCAAAGAATACTGAATGAAGCTCAATCCTCTAAAATGTGCTTTCGGAGTAAGCTCGGAAAAGTTATTGGTTTCCTTGTAAATCAACGAGGTGTTGAAGCCAACCCAGAGAAGATTCAAGCTCTTCTAGACATGAAAAGTCTGACCAACATAAGGCAGATACAGAGCTTGATAGGGTGTATGGCCGCACTCAGCAGGTTTGTTTCCCGAGCCATGGACAAATGTTTATCATTCTTTGAGACCTTGAAGGGGAACAAGGGTTTCACGTAAACGGAAGAATGCGAGAGAGCCTTCTAGGAGCTGAAGAATCATATGGGACAATCTTATTTGTTATCAAAGCCCGTCCAAGGTGAGCCACTACTGTTGTATTTATCGGTATGAAAGTTCGCTATCAGCATAACTTTGGTACGCGAAAAAAAGGGACTGCAGTGGCCAGTATACTATGTGACCAAAAGGCTACTTGACGTGGAGACAAGATACCCAAAAATGGAAAAGCTCACCTATGCCCTTGTCATTGCCACTAGGAAGATATGACCTTATTTCCAATGGCACACCATTCATATGTTGACAAAATTTCCGTTGAGAAAGATAATACAAAAGCCTGAGGCATCGGGCAGATTAATTTAGTGGACGAT